GTAAAACAATCTGCCACAGGTCAAGATGTCAAGGTGAGAAGTGGAAAATAAAGTCAAGCCTCCCGTTTCTTGGCCTTGCTCTTTGACCCAATTCTGCACTACCTCTCCTATTGTCAAAGCCAGGGAACACAGAATATACACATAAAAAACCTATATATCCTGAATTATCAGTTCAGAGTTAAATCAAGATTCCTTTACTGCACAAACAGTATTTCCCACAGGATGATTTTAGCATCTCTTCTCCCCACATGCATCCCTACAGCATGTTAGAACTACAAAAGGAGACTGCTACATTATCCAATACATAAAACTGGTAGTTCCTTTGGTAGCTCTGAGCATGTATGGTAAAATACCAGTGAGAGTTTCTTCCCACCAGTCAGGGAAACTGCTGTGGGGAGTGACTCAGCTAGGACGTAGTCCAGAAGGCAACAGGAGATGAGGGGCCCCAGTGGCACTTTTCCAGTCTTAATCAGCACTGTCTGCATGGTGATAGAGACTGATAAGCTGCCAGAAGTCATTTCTTTCTATAAGACTTGAAATAGTGGTCCAGAACAGTTGTGATCTTTGTGTGTGTGTATTTGGTTGGGTTTTTCAAATGCAAAATCAAGGGCTGTAATTTCCCATGGTGGCCAACAAACAATTTTGATAGTTTCATTTTAATCTCCTATAAGTATCCATTTCTCCTCCCTCAACCTTACCCAATTTCCACTCCACTAAGTATTATTTTTTCCAAACAAATCAGACATGCCTGTCTACAACAGCACATTTATCAATAGGGAGGGTTGTGATAGAGAGAAACTATCCCTACTGCAAAGAGCATAAGACATTTGGGAATCCTTTCTAATAAAAAGGGATTTGATTAAACACAGCCAACTACCACAGATCAGCAACTTAATCATCAGTAAAGAAGGAAGAGCGGCTTAGACTTAAGACTTTAATTTGCTGATCTGTCAAGGACTTCACAAGAGTAGTCACTCCACAAGTTACTCTAGAACCTACAAGGGGGTAGAAGTGGACATACACCAATGACTGGGGTGCTTAGACTTACTATTGTAGTGTGGTCTTAACAAAGTTAAGTTAGGCAGAATACCCAACAGGCATGTTTAACTCCTAAAAATTCACAGGAATTAAAAAAAAATTATTATGCCTAGTGATATTTCCATGCTTAAGCACCGCCTTGCCAATGGCAGCAAGAGGATTTCTCAGTGACTGGATCGTGCTGCTGTGGTAAATCCTGGCAAGACAAAGCTGCCAGCTGTGATCTTGCTGCTCCCAAGTGTCTCCAGCATGATGCTCCTGGCTCCCACCACATTCCAGGCTCCCCAGGAGGACAGTGTGATCCATGCCCTGCTGCCAGCTGTGTGTGCTCCTGTGAGCAACCTCTCCCTAGAACAGTTTCCCTAACGCTGAAACCACCTTCAGTCATTTCCACCTGGGAAGCTGCAGAGAGGTGCAGTGAGCACAAACTGGATGGAAGTGTTGGCTGTCCTGCTCCTCTCCTCTCCTCTCCTCTCCTCTCCTCTCCTCTCCTCTCCTC